TAAAGAAATCCTTACTATTAATTTTTACATTTTCAGCCAACCTTTTCTCATACATCGCTTTTGATGTCCTATTTTCCTGTTTCACCAACTTTCTTGATCTTCTAAATATCCTGTCATACCAGTCAATTCTAGTTCATTAGTTCATTTTACTTTGGGCACTTCTAGATTAAAGGAAATTTTACTCATAACTTTCATTACAATATATCACTTGACTGTTGGTTGTTCCATATTTACTAGAAATAATATACTTTCAGAGATATGTCTTGACAACTCCATCTAGCCGTTCTAATGGTTCTGGAGGTTATTTACATTGGAAGCCTGTTTGCTACACTAATTACAAAAGAACAATAGCTCATTCATCTGATTCTAGTACCTATGGGATACAGTACACCAATACCTCACAACCCTTTAGTATTGTAAAAGCATTTTTTGGACCTTCTGATAACAATTCTATGTCAGCATTTAATGTTTCTTTTGGCTCTGCTGGAGATGGATTTTACTTAAAAACTAACTACACTTCATGGTAAGTTATTAATATCTAGTGCTAACTTTTGTGTAGATTTACTATACCTTTAAGTGATTTGATATTGTTACTGTTGGAAATAGTTTTTTCATAAAAGTTCTTAAATTCCAAGTTAAATTTTAATTTGTGGAGATAAGTGATTCTTACTTAGGCTTTTAGTGATCTAAGATGTATACCAAAACTAAAGATACTTATTATATCAAAAAGCAAATGTACTGCTTAAAAATGTTAATTATTTATTAATATGCATTATTTATTTACAGATATTTCATTAAAAGAAATTTGAATTTTTATTTGTAGTATCAAGTGAATACTAAAATAATTGGCCAGTCAAAATATTTATTTAGTGTATAATAGTGTATTCTAGTTCCTTCGAAACATATGCAGATTGGTTTGAACATAATATAAAAATAATATTTTAGCAAGAGAAAAGAATAGCTAAGTATATGAAACCAACCAACCCTGGCCAATGGTTGAAGTGAAATGTTTCACTTCAACCAATTTGGATTGGCAAAGTGACAAAATAATTCAGCACTTAGAGAAACTGTAAAATATGCATAAAGATAAATATTAATTTTGCTCAGAAACAAATATTGAAAACTGAAGAAAATAAATTGAGCTTTAAATGGCAGAAATAAGAATGTACTTATAAGTCATAAATATTAAAGATATTTCAGGTAGTTCAAAATGGCATGGCCCAGTATCTGGTATAATAGCCACATGGATACTATACCTTATGAGTCCATTATAACTTTAGGAATTACAAATTCAAGTGTACCAACAAACTGATAAAACTGGGGTTCTAGTGTGTATGTGTACATGTATGTATGTATCAATAAGTAAATCAGAGTGGATACAGTATAACAAACTGAACCCCATTTGTTATTAAATTGAAAAATTACAGGTACTTAAACCTAATTTACTAGAAATCAAAAACTGAGTAACTTAGGTCATCACAAAGGAAAGAGATAGTAATAAAAGAAGCAGATAATGGCACTACCATGGTAATTATGATGTAAGACTACTATATGTACAGTGGTGCAGAATCAATTTGTGTAGAGGGAGCAAACAATAGTGACAGCATTCACTCTAAAGTAGAGGACCTCCTGCCAGAAAAAAACAAAACAATAATGAAATGTCCATTTAAAGATTCTAAATTTTCATTCATAAAAATTTTCAAAAATCATACATATTTTATAGTATCACTAGTCGCTCAGTGACAATACACCTCGTGGTTAAGTGATATCTGAAATTTCAGCTTTGTTGGAAAAGTAACTCCTTGTGACAAAAAAGAAGTTCTTATTCCAATGTATGGGTATGTTGGTACAAAAAAATTAAGGCAGACATCTGAGATCGAAAATTATTCAAATTAAAAAGTTTGTGGCAAAATATGATTGTTTATTTCATAAAAAGAAATCATTTTTATATCTTACCTAAAATTCATAAAAGTTAGGAATTAACATTACTTTTTCAAAATTAAGAAATGGTTATTTACAGATTAAGGAACCAGCTTTAATATCTTCATTTCCTACTGTAGCAGGAGTAAGTAGTGAAATGAGCTGACTGAGCAAGTTTGTCAATGACCTTCTAAACTGCATCTAAAAGGTATTCAAACCTACATCAAAGCCACTGTGAGTTTTCTTAAAAATTTACCAGCTCAGACTAGAGCTAGGCGATTTAATCGACTACCTAGAAGCAGCGATTACATCGACTAGTTTCTTGTAAAGTAATTGAATGGGGTAGCATGGCTCAGTGGCTTTACACTTTGGAGTTGTAGTCAGATGGTTGTGAGTTCAAGGCTGGCCTGCAACGTGCTGTTGTGTCCTGTTGTAGTAGGAGTAAGTAGTGAAATGAGCTGACTGGGCAAGTTTCTCAATGACCTTCTAAAACCGCATCTAAAAACTATTCAAACCCCACTTGTTCCAGTCTACCCAGCTGTTAGTTGGGGGTTAACCTGTGATGAACTGGCGTCCCATTTAGTAGGAATGTATCACCATTCTCATTGGCTTGTACCACTTGAAACTCAATTCAAAAGTACTGGTCCTATGTGCTTTGCAAAAAACACAGCAATGATTTAACTAACTAAAAGTACTTGATTAATAAATATTACAATTAAATGGATTGTCACAAAAATAATAAACTCTTCAAAGGTATAGTTTTCAATTAATACAACTGTCTAAATAATCAAAATATTACCCATATGTTTGTTTGTTGTTAAGCGCAGAGCTACATAATGGGGGGCTTAAGTTTTGAGTTTTTGGTTAATTTCTGTTGTCACTAAACTTGCTCACCCTGTCTTTATTGTGAAGCTTTTATATGCCACTGTCTTTAATATTGAAATGCTGATTAGATGGAAGGCAACACTCTCTGCCAACTTTCTGACTACTCAAATATCAAGTAAAGTGTAAATTTTAAAGTCAATTTATATATTTGTTCTAACAGTATTTAAATTTTAGCTCAAAATATTGTTACGTCTCCGTTCGTTAGTTAATTTTCCGTAACTTCGTTCCAACGAAACTTTAGAGACACAAGTCCTTTCATAAATAAAACTGGTTTATTCTTTCCGAATACAACTTTACGATACACTTAATTTCAACAGTCACTCTGTAACAAACGCTATAATTCTCAACGAACTTCTCACAATATTCTCTCTGACTGCAGTTCAATTACTCATTACCTACACATAAATTGTCCCGTCACGTTGTGACCATCTTATATATACCAAACTACCCCCAATCTAGTAATCTCCCGACAATTCAAGAAGGTTCGAGAAAGAAGTGGCGTGATACTAGTCACGTGACCTCGCTGACGCAACAATATTGTAGAATTGATATTTTGTCATTTTCTGACATTCATGAAGAAAAATTAAGTTCATACTTTCATTTCTGCACAACTGCCAAAAGTTTTTCGTGGAAACAAAACAGCATACCAGCTGATTTATTTCAGAATTTTACAGCCCATCTCCAAAAATAACTACTTTTGCTAAAAATCTATCACCCCTTGAGAATATATTATCTTCTTGATTTCTCAGTGTTTCCCTGAGTTTTTGTACTGGCTTTTTATGAAACCTTACTATGGTGACACATCAAATAGTTTAATCATGTACTGATAGAACACAGCTAGAAAGACGTTTTAAACATGATTGGAGAGAGCAAGAGTTAGAGTTATATCATGTAATAGTAGAATAAATATTTGAGTTTAACTTTTTTTATAGTTTCTGTAGATATTCTCTTCAGCTCCTTTTGTTTGTGAGTTGTGAAGGTATTTGTGTTTTAAATTATATTTGTTTGAAAGCTTTCAAAATTTTCTTCAATGAGAAAACATCATATAACTTGAGATAAAATAAGCTCATACAGTTTAGACACAGTAACAAGTGTACAATCTTTGGAATATAGGAATACAGTAGGAAATGAAGAAGTTGCATGACTGGAGATTGTTTAAGGCTTATTAATATAGGTATATTGTTGATGTTTGGTTTTTTTGTTTAAATACGGTGTTTTTAGACTTTAATGGATATACTATAGTTTTATTAAGTTGCTATGTTTGTTGTGTAAACACGAGTTTTTCCTCTTTTTTTTTTTCGTTCTTAAGTTCACCAAATTAAATTGTCACAAATCAGGTAAGTTCACTGTTTAGTGAGTGTAGTAGGTGACTGCAAAACATTCTGGTTACTGATATATTTACTGAATATAATTTTTCTATTTATCCTATTCAAACAACATACATAAATAAATTTGCTAATTGGCTACTTTATTATTTCAAATTGCAATCCTGATATGTTTTTAATAATAACTATTACTCTTATTGGTGATAGTAAAGCATATTTTCATTATTTCTAGAAGATCAGTGTGGGATTACTGCATATCATTTGAACAAATATAATGTTGATTGTTAGTTGACATTAGCGATTTATTCACCAAATAGGAAATGAGCATATGTTGACCTTCAGAAGAAATTTATCAAAGAAAACCAAAGGTAATTTGAAAATTAATCAAAAAAATCTTAATACCATATCAGGATGATGCAGTAATACAAATTACTAAGAGGTAGCACACACCTTTTTTATTATTATTATTGCTTGTAAGGTAGGGGTGTATATTTATTGATTAATCAAATGTAATCAGTTAATGAGCCCTTCGATTAATAAATTCCACTAATTGCCCAGCTCTAGCTCAGACTATGCATAATAATATGATGATGGTTACTTGTGATGTTTGTGTTTATACTGATGATGATTTGGGACTAGAAATAATTGAATACTGTTTGGATAAATTCCCAAATTTATCACATTCAAGATGCATGAAACCCATTTGACTGTAGGCTATTAATTAACCTACTTCTAATATATATGTATAGTTATTTTATTTTTAAGTATGAAAGTTTTTTTCATTGAAACAAAGGAACACCAATGTGCATAAGTACAGTTCCAACATATGCTGATAATCTTTTTAGTCTAGATGATTATGAATATTTATATAAAACTGATGAATGTGTTAGAATAATTGTTTCATTTCAGGGAGTAAAAATCTAATTTAACAATTTGTGGATCATTTCAAATAAGTTACATCCATACAGTAAGTGTATAATGGAGATATAAAAGAGTGAATTATCATTTTTAGATGTAAAAATTACCTAACATGGAAATAATGAAGATAAAATACATATTGTATAAAATAAAACAACTAACTGAAGTTTTTATCTAAATTTCTTTTGTAATCATTTGAGGCATATTAAATTAAGCATTCCCTTTAACCTTGCTAGAAGAATAATTCAGAGTAATTAAAAAGAAAAACAAGAAATAAGATTAAAAGAATTTAATAGATTTTTTAACTACAGTAGTGCTACTCAGAAGGGTTTAATAAACAACTTTATTTTGTACACAAGACAATTTGACCATAATCAACCAACGACAAAAAAATACTTCCAACAGTTACAACTTTACTTAGTAATCTTCATTAATGGTGTCAGAAATACTGTAACAAATTGTTCTGGAAAACTGAATGAAATGTTTGCCATAATAGCAGCCTATTGTCAATAAAAATATTAAAAAGATACTAATGAAATAATATGAAAAGAACTAAGATACTGAGAATAGAAACTTTTAATGACAGTAGATGCCAGTTATACTGTCAATCAGATAACTTTGTATCAGAAACTTAAGAAATTAAAAATATAAATAGTGCTATAATTTGTAAGTTTAAAAACGAAATTTTAATTGTCAATCTAAAAACTCATTTATATGTTAATGTGTTTTTAATATGGGACAACCTTAAAACCTTAGAATTTTAATGAACTTAGATAAATATAACACAAGTAATACAGAAAGTAGCCTAATCCCATATTCAAAGCACATATAAGAATTTAAGAAGGTAAATGATGAATTAAAAGAACTCTGTATTTCTGCTTCTGTTGTCTATTCTGGAAATTGAATAACTAAAAATGAGACTTCAATACAAAAAATATTATTAGAAAATTTAGGTGTAAATTAAATGAAGTTTCATATGGTGAATATTTTAAGATACAATGTTATGTTAATTAGAAATATCCACCATAGGGTGAGAAATGACTCCATGATAAAATGGGGCAGATGAACAAAGAGATTGAGGGAGGAGAATTTGATGACAGGCTTCCAGCCTCTGGTGTAATTGGGAACAACATGAGTCTGGAACAAAAACTTGGTGAAATACGTAGAACAGGTACAATGGCCTGCGAAGATAGTACTTTCAGAACAACCTCTGACAGATGCTGGCTGGTCATGAGATCCTGAGGTGGAGGGAAGGAACAGATATAGGAGATACAGGAGGTGGGAAAACTATGGGATCAGGAATCTTTCTGAGAAAACTTGAAGAACCCAAAGATTCATGATTAAAAAATGCCAGTGAAAAGAAAAACCAGCAAGCCGAGCTCCCACCGGACCAGAACCCATCAGGTAGTCATCAATACTGTTGGCAACGTGACATGTGTTATCACAGAAAAAATGAGGCGAGGCACCCTGAGAAGAAGGAACAGGTAAAAGCTGGGAAGGGCAGGGATGGAAAATGGCAACAGGTGCCCTATTGGACTCCAGTGTAGACAAACGGGCAAACTGGAAAGGGTAAACTGTTGTTGTACTGATGCAACCCGTGATTCTACAGACTCAGGGATCATGTTAAAGACGTATCATCACAAACATGGAGCCATATATAAATCCCTAAGATAAGATAATGAGACATGAGTTAAGGTCGCAGCACGACCTACAAGGTCCCAACAACAAAGAAAACATGTATGTAAAGCCAGAGCTGAAGATGACAAACAAGCCAATGTGGAAGAAGAAGGAAAAGGAAGTCCCCAGAAAATCCCTCAGGATTTTTGTGGAGAGCCTCAGAGAGAAGATGGTATGTAGAGAGATACTGTAAAGAAGTGTGAGGGTAAGACAAAGGTGGGAAATTGGGCACGGGTAAGACATACAGGAGATTCGGGGGCTGCACCCCAAACAGGCAAAATGGACCTAATAATTGCAGATCCAGGAAAAGGATAGTCTACATGATGATATGCAAGAACAAACTGATCTGAAGCTCATGAAATTGTAAAGCAATTAGTCATCATTAACCCAAATATCTGAGTGGGGGGAAACTCAGGAGGGATGGGAAGATTGGTTAGGTAGTAAGGAAGGACACCGGTCATAGGAAATAGGGGAAAGGGATAAAACGTCACCTATCTGAGAAACTAAATCCAAAAAGACCATATTTAACCTAACTGACTTCTCAGGCGGGGCATGGGAAGGCTCGGCAAAATCAGGAGGTGTAAGTAGGTGATCCAAGTTCTTGTCTGCCTGAATAGGCTCAGCTTGTTCTGAAGGAAGTGGGGTGAGGTCTGGAAACAGAGGTTGACTCATATAACGTTCAGTCACCTGGCAAATAAACATGGATAAATCCCTCATCGGATTGCCTGCACCTGAGGCCTGAGACGTAGTGCTAGTTGCAAATGTAACCCCCAAAGTAGTATCATGAACTTCGGAATTCATAATGAGTAACAGTGAACTAATAATCGAAAGAATTAATAACAATGTGATTGTAATAAACTGGGATTAAAGTTGAAGTTAAGAAACAGTCTTAATAAAAACTAGAAGTGAAAATAAGTGAAGACCACATCATGAGTATACTAAAAATTGATGTCAAACAAACAAAAAAGGAACACGTCTGAGCACAAGCGCTGCCAAACGAGAAGTGATAATTTGGTAGAGGCATATAGAGGGAATCACATGCATCACTTATGTCACACTCCTATTTGTGGAAAAGTGACACATGATGATATGATTTACATGAGAGGCATGTTGGAATCATCCAATTCCAATAGGGTGGAGCAGAAGGCTTGTGGCATGCGCAAAGAAAAAATTGCATACAGAGGGCAGCACTGGACAAGAATAGCTAATCTTGTGAGAGGAGGGAAGTACAGTATTGGAAGTATATTTTTCAATAATTTTTTTTTCACCTTTGATTAAATCAATAGACAAGATTATTCATTTAATTGCATTATTGCTGGGTTTAACTTGTACATTATATCTGGAGATATTCACAGAATTTGTTTGAAACTAAACAGTAGCTGTAATGTGAAAGTGCATTTCAAGCTATATTTTTTGAATTGAATTAAAGAAGAAATAACAGAATATTATGCCATTCTTATTCATTCATTTATCCATGCTTGGGTTGACTGCTATTTGACAACTGTTTTGAATATCTAAATATATAATTTGCCATAACAGATGATTGAGTATAGTTATGAGCAAATTCTATTTATAAATTTCTATAACACAGTTAAACTTTTCTGTAGTTGTATTTTTTGTAGTATTGGTCTTTCATGTTTTAGTTGTAAAAGAATGAGCTGAGAGACTGCTTGAATGAAACACAGAATTTTTGTGAAATGCATAATTTTTATTCTACAATTTTTTTTAATCTAGCAAACCCCTCTGGACCTAAAACTGTAACAAAAAGTTTGGTTTTCTGGATGAGTATAACATATTTTTGTCATTTATGGTTACACACAGCAATAACTGAACACTTTGCATTTTTCACAGACTTGAGATAATTCGTTTTCCTTGAATTAACTGTCCAAATCTTTAGAATAAGGTTCATTACTAATGGGAAGCTGTATTTGTGATATGACTAAAAAAAGGAATTTCATCTACACTTACAGCTCATTCTGCCTGATCTTAGGACTACATATTGGTTGCTTCTCAGTTGGAAAAATAATAATAATGTTTATTTTTATGACAGTAGTAGCTACTAATATCTAAATATCTGAATAACATGTGATAGAGGGTTTTTTTGAGGACAGGAGGTTAACCACATGGAATATTCGATTCAGAAAAGAATACAGAGGAAAGTGGAAATGACTTAACCTAAAATTGTATGACAGTTTTTATAGAACATTAAGAAAGGCAAATAGAATATAAGATGCTGAAGTAGTTCAGAATCTTGAACAGTTCTAAGCATGATGTAGATTTATCCAGGAATTTATTTAGCTGTATAATATAAAAACTGGTATGTAAAGAAGCTTTCTTCATATGTGTATGTTCATGTCACAGAAGTTTCTTAGATTTTCAAGTGAGTGTTCTTTTGAAATTCATAGTTTATTAAGTGTTTTTATGTTTTAACTATATTTTAGTTTCTTGTCTAAACTTTTATATATATTTTCCAAGAAGTATAAATTATAACAAGTACCAACATAAACATTTTCTTCAAAGTATGGAAGTTGTTTAAAGATGCGTGTTTAATTGTTTTGTAATAATTATTGCATTTATTGAAGCATGTACTCATAATCCTGTTGTGTTTAGTTACCTTTTGGTGTAAGTAAAAAATGTTAATCTTTATAAATAGTAAAATTTTTTTGATGAAAATACTTAATATATCCATTTTTTTAAATTTGTTATCCATAGATTTCCTGTTGTTTGTAATTTTCAGAATTTAGGTATACATTATATAATAGTTCTTTTTCATGTCAGTATGCTCGTTTGAGTTGTAATATGAAACCACAGCAGATTGAACTGAGCTCACTATAATGGCAGGCCATTTATAAACTGATTAGGTTAGAAATTACATAAAAGGATTATTAATTTAAAAGACGTAATAATCTGTTCTCTCAGTTATTATCTTTTGTAATATTGTAATTTAAATTTCTAACCATTATAGGTCAGTGGCAATTGGATATGGCAGAGCCCCTCCTGAAAGACTGTCACTAATGGTAATCCTAATAATATCCATTGGAGTAGGAGCTCCACTGTTACTTATGGCTATAGGAGGACTATACTTCATTATTCAAAAGCTTGCACGTAAAAAATATGACTTGCTTTTAAGCAGTTCATTAACCTGAGTTTGAAGAAGCAGAAATGAAGTAGAATTATTGAAATAATCATGTTGAAAAATAAAGAAAAGACAGAGAAATTGTAAACTTCAGTTAAGGTAATTTAATATTAAAATATTCCAATATCTTAAGTGGATAACTATATACATACAGTAATCATAATTTTCTGTGATAAATAACATAACTTAGGGAAAGTGTGATTTTATTCATTTTATTATATGTATTAGCTGTATAGAACAGAGCAAAATATTGCTAATTAAAACAACTGTGAAGTCTACAAGGAATAACTTCTGCCATAATTTCTCATGTTATAGCTTTGGCTAGTAATGACAGTGTTTTTCATTTCACAGGTATATGTGTGTGTATGTATATTCTAAACTACATTGATAATGTTAAAATGTTTTTAAGGGAATTCAGTGTTGGTGATTTATTTTATGTATAATATTTTCTAGTTTGTAAACTCAAATTAAAAACTCGTATATAAATGTATATTGGTGTTTATATACTCATTCATTCATAAACATTTGGTTGATATCTTAATATCTAAACCATGTAATATCATAAAAGTTATTGGAATACAAAGACATTTGATAATCTGTTTTTGAAAGATAGCCATTGCAACATCAGAAAAGAAGGTTCTAAAAGCTGTTTTACTTGTACTTTTCTTTAAACTGGTACAAACTAAAAATCTGTTGTGGCTGTTTCAGATAGTTTAGATAGTTTTTTCCCTGTTATAAAGAATTTCAGTTAACCTGACAAGATTTTTCTGTATCGAATTTATATTATCTTACTTCAGAAAAAGTTACATGAACCTTAGAAAAATCTATATATAGTACATATTAAAAAGCATTAACAAATGTTTTCAGCCTCTTGAGAAAAATTTAAGTTTAAATATAAACACAACTGAGCATGTTTCCAAGATGTTTTATTTATCTGTTACTTGTTGAAAATAATGAAGTTTTGTCAAAATTGAATTACACATTAAAATATTCTATGGAAATCTAATGTTGCTGAAAATTGTAACATCAGGCTAATGTTGCACCTGACCAGTCTTTACTGCCATTCACCAGTAAGTGATTCTCTATTCATATCTTATTTCAAAGGTTGCAATGGCTCCTTTTTGATGCCATTTACCCTGAATTCTTTTTCTAAAACAGGAGCAGTTTTGAAATAAAGGAATCAGAATTAGACCCTGGAAATCAATCGCTAGAAGATAACATAATTTGTAGTTTAAATTTTTTAAACAATACAAAATAGAACTTGAAATTGTCAAAGAAGATTAAAGGAAATAAAGGCATACAAACTTGGCATCAATATTTATTATTTATAGCATCAGAATAGCTCAGTTTAAGAATAAACTTTACAAAAGATAATTATAACTTGTTTGAATAGAATGAAATCGCATTTAATTCTGTTCAAAGAGGTGAATTTGATATGGCATGTTCAACATTGCTAGTTATGCTTAAGACAAAATAATAAGAATTTTAACTGAATATTTCATTTTACATTACATCAATATATGCTGATGTACTTGTTGTAAGCTGTATATTTTTAATGTAATTTGTTTGTTAGCTAGTTAGATCTGGATTTTAATGATAGCATTAAGATTGGAAGGTTTAGTAAGCTTAAAAATTCTAGAAACTTAAGGCTGTGACTTGAGGTTTCTAGCATATTTAGAAATACATTACAAATACAAAATTATTTTGAAGAAAGATTGATTTTCAAGATAGAGAGTAAATCAGTTAAGGTGTGAGCTGTCACATCTAACTTGAACAAGTGGATTTTAGTTGAAGTAATTTGTAATGTACGCCTACAACCAATTTATAGTTACAGAAGGAAATAAACTCATTTGTTATACTTTATATGGACTGTATTTTGAATTATTTTCACCATAATGTAGAACTTGACACTAAAAGAACTATGTTCCAACACTAACATTTATGTTAATTTGTCCAGACATATATATATATATATACCTGAAAGAGATTTCTTAATTATTTTCTTATTTGGAACAATCTTTGCAATATAAATGATTTCTAACTTTAAATGCCATGGACTGAGTGAAAGTTTAATTGAACATATAAGTAAAACTAAGTTAATTTAGTCTTATGATTTTTGAAATTGAAAAGGAAATAACAAAATTGACTTTATATGTATATATATATATATATATATATATATATATAT